ACACCTGCCTTTTACAAAAACTGCTGCCTTACTTTAATGAAACCTTTATCTGTTATTTTCAACTTCTCTATTAAATCTGGTGTCTTTCCGTCCAAATGGAAACACGCTCACATTGTGCCAATTTTTAAAAATGGCGACAAAAATAATGTGTCTAATTACAGACCTATCAGTTTATTATCTGCACCTACCAAGCTCTTTGAGTCTATAATTACATCACATTTAGCTTTTAAATTCAAACATGTTATTATCCCCGAACAGCACGGCTTTCTCAAAAAAAGATCCACGCTTACAAATCTATTTTCTTTCACCAATTTTATTCTAAGTAATTTCGAAAAAGCTAGAGAAGTTCATACAATATATACCGACTTTTGCAAAGCCTTTGATAAAGTTACTCACTTTAATTTAGCATACAAATTATATCTCTATGGCATCGGGGATCCTTTACTCTCTTGGGTGACTAGTTACTTAACTTCCCGAACCCAACAGGTCAAGATTAGGAAGACTTTTTCAAAAGTTATCCATGTAACTTCAGGTGTTCCCCAAGGATCGATTATAGGGCCGTTTCTATTTCTATTATATATTAATGACCTTGGATATCTCCTTAAATCCAAATTTCTAATGTTTGCTGATGATTTAAAGATCTTTAATCAAGTTAATAATGACACTGTCACTAGCCTACAATTGGACCTTAACAATCTAACAGTTTGGTGTGAAAATAACGCTATGTCTTTTAATCTGGAGAAATGTTATGTCCTAAACTTTAGTCATAAACTCAACAAGTCAACTCCATGTTATAGTATTAGTAATTCAGTTTTGAGAGAGGTTGATAACATTAAGGACTTAGGTGTTGTTCTGGATACTAAACTCACCTTTACTAAACATTATGATTTTATTGTGGCCAAAGCCAATAAAATGTTGGGATGTATAAAAAGATGGACCTCTGACTTTGCAAATGTGCGAATCTTGTTACTATTATTTAATGCTTTTGTAAGATCAGTGTTAGAATATTGCGCTGTCATTTGGTCACCTTTTTACAACATACATATCCTCCGAATTGAAAATGTCCAAGGAAAGTTTCTTAAATATGTAGACTTTAAGCTAAGGTCATGAAATGTTATTGTGCCGTTTAATCAACTATGTGATTATTTGGGAATCATACCTCTACAAAAAAGACGGATTCATCTTCAGCTTTGCTTTCTTTATAAGATTGTAAATAATTTTGTAGACTCCGGCGAAATTCTGAGCCAGATTTTGTTTGCCACTCCTCACTACAGCACAAGATCCCAATCTCTGTTTAAATTTAACAGCTTTAAGACCAACTACTGTCTCCACTCATCTTTACAGAGACTTTTATGGTTGGGTGGTCTGTGCCGTACTGAGGTTGATTTTACAGGTGTGAGTTTTAAAGTTTTTAAGTCCCAGCTTAGGAATTTATTTTAGAATGTAAGTTGTGCGTTTCTGTTTATTATAGTTTATTGTAGTTTTTTCTTTATTTTACTCTGTAATAGCTTTATTGGCGTTAATAAATGCAATTATATTATATCGAAGTTGAAAATTCGAAAATTTAAAAAATGCCTAATTGAAAAATCAAATATCGGAAAAATCTAAAAATTGAAGAATTGAATAACTGAAACTCGCTGAAATTGAGAATTCGAGAAATCGAGTCGAAAAACAAAAATTGATTAATCGAGGAAATGAAAAATAGAAAAATCGAAAATTTAAAAAGTGAAAAATTGGAAAATTGAAGAATTGAAAAATTGAAAAATCGTAGAATTCAAACATCGGAATGGAAAAGCCGCAAAATGAAAAAATTGAGAAAGCGAAAATTTGAAGAATAAAAACTGAGAAAATCAAAATTGAAATACGGAAAAATTGAGAAATCGAAAGTCGAAAAATCGAAAAATCGAGAGACGGAAACATCAAAAAAGTGAAGTCTAAAATTTAAAAAATCGGAAAATTCGAAAATAGAAATATCGAATTGAAAAACCTAACATTTTAAAAATTGAAGAATTGAAAAATTGAAAATTCTAAAATTTTAAAAATTGAAGAATCGAAAAATTAAAAAAATCCCAAAACTGAATCATCTGCAAATTGAGAAATCGAAAAACTAAAAAATCGAGAAATCGAAAAGTTGAAATATCGAAGTTGAAAATTCGAAAATTTTAAAAATGTCTAATTGAAAAATCGGAAAAATCTAAAAATTGAAGAATTGAATAACTGAAAATCGCTAAAATCGAGAATTCGAGAAATCGAGTCGAAAAACAAAAATTGATTAATCGAGGAAATGAAAAATAGAAAAATCGAAAATTTAGAAAGTCAAAAATTGGAAAATTGAAGAATTGAAAAATTGAAAAATCGTAAAATTCAAACATCGGAATTGAAAAGTCGCAAAATGAAAAAAATGAGCAGGCGAAAATTTGAAGAATAAAAAACCGAGAACATCAAAATTGAAATATGGAAAAATTGAGAAATCGAAAGTCGAAAAATCGAAAAATCGAGAGATGGAAACATCAAAAAGTGAAAAGTATAAAATTTAAAAATTCGGAAAATTCGAAAATAGAAATATCGAATTGAAAAACCTAACATTTTAAAAATTGAAAAATCAAAAAATTAAAAAATCTAAAATTTTAAAAATTGAAGAATCGAAAAAGTAAAAAGTCCCGAAACTGAATCATCTGCAAATTGAGAAATCGAAAAACTAAAAAATAGAGAAATCGAAAACTTAAAATATCGAAATTGAAAATTCGAAAATTTAAAAAATGCCTAATTGAAAAATCAAAAATCGGAAAAATCTAAAAATGGAAGAATTGAATAACTGAAAATCGCTAAAATCAAGAATGCGAGAAATCGAGTCGAAAAACAAAAATTGATTAATCGAGGAAATGAAAAATGGAAAAATCGAAAATTTAGAAAGTCAAAAATTGGAAAATTGAAGAACTGAAAAATTGAAAAATCGTAAAATTCAAACATCGAAATTGAAAAGTCCCAAAATGAAAAAATTGAGAAAGCGAAAACTTGAAGAATAAAAAACTGAGAAAATCAAAGTTGAAAAATCGAGAAATCGAAAAGTTTCCATCTCCAGAATAAAAATTGAACACGAATTAATAAACCACAACTTCAGGGCTGCTACCTTTTAACAAATAAATAATATTTATGTGACCAAATTGTAAGATGACATCATCAATTCCTGGGGGGGCGGTGAGAAATGATAAATTTTGATTAAGGATTTACCGTGTTTCCCATAACCTTAAAACGTTTCCAAGATATTTGAGAATGTTACGCAATTTTGTTTTTTCCAAAAATTTCGATGCCTAAGGTAAAAACTCAACACAGATTCATAAACCACAAATGGAGGAGTACATCATTGTTGGTGGGGATGAACAGACAAATTTTGGTTAGCGTATTACCATCTACACAATACTCCTAACACACATACAAAATTTGATAACAATCGATCCGGTAGTTTCGGAGATTATCTCTCTAATAAAAATCCGGACAGAAGGCTGACAGATAGACAGACAGACAGATAGACGGAAACCGGATACCTATTTTTGTGTACTCGAGATGTCATGAAGCGTCGAGAAAACATGAAAGTAGCCAGTCGTTCGGTGGAGTCGATGAAAATACTTCTTTCACTTACGCTTGGGAAGTAAAAATTGATCGAAAGATATAGTATTTCCACGGAACCTTCTTTGCCTCTTAAAAAAAAGTCCAGTTTCTCAAAAAAGTTATGAAATTTCACAAAATTTTAAGTTGACACCATTAAGGAAGGGCGAACAACCGTGTCCACTGTAACTTTAAAATGTGTATAAAATTGAAGGATTTGTAGTTTGAAAATAACTAATTGTAAAACTTTACTGCAACATTTTCACTTTTTCCAAAAAATTAAACGGAAATGGGAGACTTACTTTTTCATATTATGGAAGCTTTGCAACTTTGTGAAATTAGCTTTTACTCGAGACGTAAAAATAAATGTAAAAATCAAAATATTTCAGCATCATAAGTAAGACCCGACATTTATTCACTTTAACTAAACAATGTTAAAAATGTTTGCTCATTTCCACTAATTCTTTCGATCGCCTCATTTTCATAATTTTGAATTTTCCTTTGATGTACTTAAAATCTTAAATCACCCCGCAATAAAATAGAGTTTTCATTAACGCGAAAAAACATTGTTCGAAATCTTTTGAAAGTGATGTTTATAAGTCGATGATAATTTAGTGCAATGTGTAAAACAGATCGCAAATAAATTTGTAACCTTCAAAAAGACAGATTTTACTTTCTATCTAACAAACTTAGACTCAAATTGACGTTACTGTTATCATCAGTTCAATAAATTTTAGTACTCGTTTTCAAGGACAGGCGAATGCGAAAGGTAAATATTGGGTTGCGAACAATATAAATAACAGACAAACATTTCCAGACTCGGTGGATCGCAAATAACCCGGTGACAAAACGCGTCTGGCTTTGTAATATCCAGAATGCACAAAAACAAAGTATAATTCGGGTAACGACACCGCATATGTTCAAGTTTTTGACGTTAAATTGATTTTAAAACGAATTTTATGATAATGGATTCACTCGACCAGTAAAATTCGTACCCAATAATTACCGAATAAACGAAGATTATTTAATAACGCGATTAAATATTTTGGGTTTATTTGGAAAACACATACATAAATAATTGCTGAATTTAAATATTTTATATTGTATAAAAATATTAAATAAAATATTTACAGTTGGTCCATTAGCTAATGGAAGAGCTTCCAACTTACGAATTTCTTTTATATTTTTGCTTATAATTTATTAGCAAAATATTTAATTAAGCTTAATATTTTCGTTGAACAATTTTATATGTAGTTAATTTTGTCTCGCACAATAAAATTCGCAGTTAGAATTAAATGGGTTAATGTAGTCGCGTGCTATACAATATACTGTTTATTTAAGCAAAATCTGTCTTCTGTAATGTATTCTCAATCTAACTTATTTATTTATTTCAGATTTTCCAACTCATTCTTCGCCGTCAGTTGCTTCATCGGTAAGTCGGAATGTTGTTTACTTATGTAACCTCAAGCAGCTATACATTTGATACGTAAAGTACATGCGCGAATAGTTTAGTTCTTAAACTATTCAAGCTCGGAATTCAAATCATGAAAGCACTTGACCTCTAATTCGAGGGAATTGGATCACTGCACTGGAAGTCTGCCAACAAAATCCCTCCAAGAGGAACTTCATCGACCAAAATCTAACCTGTGTAGTTTTTGACCTGCTCCAACCACGACTTAAAATTATTTATACACGTCATCTTAGAACGACAGTCCAACATTTGTTTGTTAAGTCAACTCTCTCAACTTACTTACCAACACAACCACTGATGAATAAATCATATTTCAGCAACAATATTTATTCAGGACGTAGCTACACATCGCAATTTCAAATTCAACTTATTATTTATACCACCCTTAATTCGCATTACACCATTAGGTACTTGAATAAATTAAAATGATGAAAGCAGACTGGCCGGCAGCAGACTCAATCTAAGTGAAGTATCCCGAGTGAATGGTAGGTAATTTAAAAGTTGATGACGACACGTCGTTCTTTGGGGGTTTGAAAACTAGAAGAAGGTGAAACTTACGACTTCGAGGTTAAAACTGCCACTTTCTTTGTTTAATCTGGAGTGGATTCGGTGTTTGATTTTGTTTAGCAATTTCGCAATTTTATGACATGGCTTTTAGTCGTGGAATTTACAATGGAAAGTACTTAGTGACTTGTAAACGCGCTAATAAGCTGAGCTAAGCTTGGCCAGTAGCGAGATCGAGTTCTTGTTATAATACCTAGGAGATTGTTGGTGATGGTTTGTCAAAGTTGTTGAAGTTAGATTACTGTCGTTGTCACGAGTAAAGTTTTAAAAATGTTGGTGTTTTTTTTCTGGAAATTTTTTTGTGTTGATTGTTAAAATATTGTATAAAGAGAAAGTATCGGATTTATTTATGTTGTAGGCTATATAAAAGAGTTATTTCTGTCATCCATTAAAGATGTCATAAACAAGGCCACCAACTAAATGTTCACTTTTTATCTGTTTATGTTTTATTTACTTCTATAAATTTGTTTTATTATCTTGACCGTACAAAATTAAACGGTTATTTTTATGGCTCTCGTATTTCAGTTTTCGTTTCATAATGCAGGGCGTCCTTTTCTTAATAATATATTATATTTGTATTATTCAAGTATTTTATCTTTATTAAAAACGTACACACATTATTTTGAAGGATATATGTTCCAAAAGTCCACTTTATTTACTATTTTGACGATAAGTTTTGCCAACAATTATTTTCAGACAACCTCACAATATTGTGTGAAAAACTTTTATGATAAAGGATTAATTAGAAAAAAATATAAATTAAAAAAAATGACAAGTGGCAAATTTAATCACATAAATTAATTATTTTTTCTACTCTCGTATTTAAAAGCTTGTCAAGCGTACGTAAATGGACAGCACTAAACGATGTTTTAATCATGGTTTCATAAATCGTAGCTTTCGACGCATTAAACACGAGCTGAGGATATGTTAGGGCTCGTTAGTCACGTCTTAGGTGCGTTCGGCAGTCTTCGTGTTCATTAAACACGTCTTGGCTAAAAATAATTTTAAATCTAATTACTTTTGAACAATGACATTTATTCTTGTTACTCTTTGCCATTTCACACCGGTATTTGAAAGTTTTAGTTGAAAATGCGACATTTGTGAGTGCTGAGTACTGAGTGAACTAGCAGTATATCTTGGCTCCCGATATTTTCTCTCCATGCCGGTGAGTTTGTCCTAAATAAAAGGTTTTAAACTAACCAGCATAAGGCAATAGTACCGTCCAACGCGCTGTGCTAAAATCAGCACAAGAGTTTATACCAAAAGGAAGCAAATTTCATGTTTCCCTTCGTCAATCTTTTTCGCATACAACTTTTTACCCCTCCTAATCTGCCAGCGATTTGTTTTTACACCGGATCGGCTGAGTGCTCAGCCGTTTGCCGTACGGCGCGGCAAGGCGAGACCAGTCCCTTGACTTAAAAAATATGGCAACTTCTTCGTCCCAACCCCCAACAAAAGAACAGGCGATAGTTCTAAATGTTGTCGATAATTTAAAGCTGACCGACTATGTTGTCGCTATAGCTGATGTAGTGCAACCTGAGAATATTACCTTTGCATCACGAATGTCCAATGGCCGTGTATGCATTTACCTGAGTTCCAAAGCCCTAGTCGACGAATTTGTAGCTAAGCATTCAACCGTAAAAATAAATGAGTCCGAAATAACAGTGAGACGACTAATGAACCCTGCACGACGAATTATATTTTCTAATGTTTGCCCTTCGGTTCCTAACAGTATCTTAGAAAATCTTGTGCAAACTGTAGGCTTAACTGCTGTCTCGAAAATATCTTACCTGAAGGCGAGTATAGAAGGTAAGCAATTTAAGCACATTCTAAGCTTTCGACGTCAAATTTACGTTCAGCCTAATGAGTCAATTGAACTACCATCCTCTACGGTCATAAAATTCGATGGCACGAACTACAGAGTATTCCTCAGCTACGACGATGTCTGCTTCAGATGTAAAGCCACGGGACACTTTGTCAGTGACTGTCCCAATAAAACAGAAACTTGCGCCCAAATGGACACTTCCACTACAACTTCGACACCTCAGTTCACTGGCGAGAAACGCCCGTTACCTGAGGAGCAACCAGTTCAACCCCCTCTTGACCTATCACAACGAACTGTGGATAACTCTGGCGATCAAAGGGGACAAAAAAGAATTAGACCCTCTGACTCAACTGAGAGCCTCACTCCCATCCCCGAAATGCTATTACCAGCCAAGGAATTGATTAATAATGCCCAATACCCACTAAGTTTTGATGAAATTGTAGACTTTTTTGAAAAATCAAATGGCGAACCCAACATTTTAGGACTTGTTAACAAATACACACATGATACTAAAGGTGCACTCGACATGTTATATGATATCTACCCTCTTTTGTGTCACAAAGCTGCTAAAAGTCGTTGTAAGAACATTCAGAAAAGAATTAAAAAAGCTTGCAGCTACCTGACAGATGACCCAGAAAACAACGTTTCCAATTTATTTGAAACTTACGGTACACCAACTCGCTAGATCTTGATCTTTTCTCCAATTCTTTTCTATTCGTAAAATTCAAATTCGTACATAACAGCAATAATTACTTTGTTTGCTCAATAGCTTACACTAATATAGCTTCTCTGATGGCAAAGTATAACGACCTAAATGCGTTTGTTCAGGAAGATAAACCTTCTATTATCATACTGACAGAGACCTGGTTATCCGCATCAGTACCGGATGGCATCATTGCCTTGGACGGATACACAATTTACCGTAGCGACCGAAATCGGAGTAAAGGAGGCGGAGTTTGTATCTACTTAGCTGACCAAATATTTTCAGAATTTCACATTAAAGACATTGGTACTGATTTAGGTGGCGTTGAATCGTTGTTTCTAGAATTAACTACAAATACTACTAGTTTTGTTCTAGGGTGCATCTATAGACCTTCCTCAACTTCTATTGATAATGACAGAACTCTAATAGAACTGATCCTCAATTTAACGGCTGCTCATGAAAAAGTTTTCATTTTTGGTGACTTTAATATGGCCGACATACGTTGGCCAATTGACCCTAGTCGACACCATAAACCCTCGTCGCAGCTTCTTGTCGACATGATAACAAGTACACACTTAAATCAGTTGGTAACCCAACCCACGAGATACAGACTTGGTCAGAGCCCCTCCACGCTTGATCTTGTAATAACATCGGATGAACATTCCTTAACTAACCTTGATTATCTAGACCCAATCGGAAAATCGGATCATATCGTTTTAACAGTTGACCTCCAAATTTGCAAGTCATCTCGGACGAGAACTGTCTCATTAAAGAGGGCAGTAATAGACTATAATGCAGTTAATCGGGGCCTAAGTAAATTCGACTGGCATTCATTGCTATCCAAATCTTTAGTCACTGACAACTGGACAATTTTCAAGAGCTGTCTTCACAGTACTGTTGCACGACATACCACCTTCGTTAACGATAAAAGATCATCCAAAAAGCCATGGATTAATGCAAAAATCTTAAGTTTAATAAGGAAAAAAAGAACGCTGTGGCGTGTATACAAAAGAACTGGCTCCGAATGTGACTACAAGACTCATAGGAAGTTCTCAAACAGACTATCGGCCACTATCAAAGAGGCCAGATGCGTTTACGAATCAAACATTGCGGAATCTAAAGACACTAAAAGGCTGTATAAATATCTCCATACTAAGCTCTCGGGTCCTGTTGGTAAGATACAGATCCAAAGTCCCTTCGGAGATATTATAGAAAATAGTAAAGACATCGCGGATACATTCGCGGATGCTTTTTCTCACATGTTTACAAATGAGCCTCCTGGTCATATCCCCAAAATACTCGGTCCGAGCAACCCTACATCACTTAGCGAGATCGTATTTACCCCTACCGTGGTGCACAAAAAGCTGGCGAGTCTAGATGCTTCCAAATCTCCAGGACCAGATCTTATCACAGCCAAATGCTTATCAAACTGTGCTGATACCCTCTGTAAACCTTTATGTATTCTCATGACTCAGTCGTTTCATTCTGGCCTGCTCCCTCTTGAAGGGTGACAAATTCAATGCTAACAACTACAGGCCAATCAGTCTTACTTCTATTGTTATCAAACTTATGGAATCCATTATATACGACCAATTAATAAAATTTCTAAATGAACATCAATTAATCCCAATAGAGCAACATGGATTTTTACCTGGCAAATCCATTCAGTCAAACCTGTTATGTTGTCTATCAGACTGGACTAAGGAGAACGATGGTGGCAACTCACTAGATGTACTATACTTAGATTTCTCCAAAGCATTTGACCGGGTTCCCAAGCGCCGACTACTTCACAAAATCAAGCACCTCGGTATATCGGGTAAGCTTTACAATTGGATTGATGCATACCTAACTGATCGTACCTTCCGCGTT